GCCGCCTCGTAGCCCGTAGTGCCAGAATAGCAGTAGGCAGACAGGGCAGACACCTTTGCTGCGCATGTGCGCCAAGGGTTTAATTACACTTCCATCCCACATAATGTAAACAGGGTTTGAGGATTCTTCACCTGCGATGTTTGTGACTCTGGGTAACATATGGGATCTTGGTAGGCTATTTTCTGGGTCCAGCTCCACTGCACTGGCAACCAACCAGATTGAAGTAGTTATTGATTTTGTTGTTTCCATAAAGTTGAACATATATATAGTGCGTGGCGGCGCTTTTGATCCACCCACACATGACGACATAAATAATGACGCCCATTATATGAGGACACCTTTCCTACATAAGGACATCTTTTCTCTCCCCAATAATGCATGTCATATCAAATAAAGACACCACTTCTCTATCATGGACACTATGTCCCAGTTGGGGTCTAGATTTATAGGAGTTCCAATGCATGTTTGTCACATGGCTTTGAACAGCGTAGCAAAACAATTTGCTCAGACTTTTGTGTGTTTAGTCACAAGCATGAAATGAAAACATCTTAAGTAGCTATATTATACACAGCAGTTTTTATAGACAAAACATCAATTGTGTCTACAAGTGTAGAAATAACTACCACATGCAGCTATATAGACCCTACGTGACTCTTGTGTAGTTACTAGGTGGACAAAACAATCTGTGTTCGTAGCTAACTCTATATTTGGCAAGTTATTTTTATAGCTAACTGGGTCAAAATAAGTGAAATGGTTCACTGTTACTATTCCTTCCTCCCCTCCTGCATGACACCACCCTCAGTAGCTGCCCTTCCTCCATCTTCTCCGCATGATGTTTCTGCAGTGAACGGGTTAAATCCAATTTCCAAATAACCAGCTATTCCCTCGATAATCTTTGAGCCATTGTTGTACAATGTCTTGAAAGAAGGTCTCTTGTCTGGCACAGCCTCCCAGCAAGTGAGCATCATCGTGTAACTACATATTAGGAGGAAAATAATTACCCATACTCAGCCTCCTCCAAAGCAAGTACATACATTTTGTCTGAACATGCAGAGTTGTATGGCTTTGGCAATCTCTCTCCTTCCTCCAACATCTGCACCAGAGTGGCGGGATTAGTCCCGGGATAGGGGGACTTACCCCCACTGAACACCTCCCACATAGTGACCCCATACGACCACTGTTTGTTTTAGGGAGTGAGTCTTGCTTCATGTACGCAAACACAAAGTGCCTACCACATCACTTTTCTCAGAGAAGTGTCCATCGCTGAGACTCTCTGGGGCCATCCACTTGACGGGGAGTTTGGCCATCTCTCCATCCACTCCCTCTCTATAGTAGTTTCTCTGAAACACGTCCTCAGACAGACCAAAATCGGATATCTTTATCACAAAGTGGGAATCAATCCTTTATGTGGTGGGGAGAAGTGGTATTAGTTAGTGTGACTGTGTATGCCAACATCAGACATTAATCACTTTAACTGTATGCATGGGTCAATAGAAGCAACTTTGGTGGGGAAGTTTTGGTTTTCAGCAAGTCTCTTATGGCTCTCCATTGCTGGTGGTATAATAATTTCCAGAGTGCCCTATACTGACACTACTGGCCCACAGTCGTGTAGCTACACAAGAGTCAAACACCAGTTACCTAGTTTCAGTGTCAATCACTATTGTTACATCTCTCACATGCAGTTTCTTGCAGCCAAGTCTCTGTGGACATACTTCTCAGCAGCCAGATACTCCATACCACTAGCTATCTGGTTACACATTACCATCAGTCGCTTCATAACTTCTTGCACCTACATGGAGTGAAATAGAATTGTAAAGATTCTTCTCATTAAGTATAGTCCCACCTCG